CATCATTTTTATGGAAGTATTTCAAAATTTTAAGATTACAGAAAAACATTCGTTCTAGTGATAAAGAATTTTTGAAATTATTGTTAAAAATTGGAAAAGGAGACATAAAAACGTTTAACATTCCTAAATCCTAGATAACAGATGATGTCTGTACTAAAACATTTAATAATTACAACTGTTTTGGTAATAACGTAATACTAACTTTACATATTGAATATACTATTTTTTTAAACAATAAGATTTTAAGTAAATTAAATGGAGAGACAAAAACTTATTACAGCATCGATACTGCAACCTGTAAAGGTGTTAATAAATTAGATGATAATATTTAAATAAATTTTCCCGTAGAAATGTTAAACAATATTCGTGAAGACTTGCCACCTCATAAACTTAAATTAAAAATAGGTACAATGGTGATGTTAATTCGAAATTTGAGTATATCAGACGGATTATGTAATGGTACACGATTGTGAATTACTAAATTGTTGAAGTATAACATAGAAGGCGAAATAGTTACGGAAGAAAAAATTGGTTAAAAGTTATTATTCCTAAAATTACATAAAATACTGGAAATACTTCATCATTACCCTTTATTTTATGTAGAAAACAATTCCAATTAGTTGTAGCATTTGCTATGACTATAAACAAGTCTCAAGGTCAAAGTTTTGATAATGTAAGATTATACTTGAAAAAACCTCTATTTTCTCACGGTCAATTATACGTGGCCTTATCAAGATGCAAAAATAAAAATAGAATTTTCGTTTAAATCGATAGAGAAAACATTTTAAATATTGAAAATATAGTTTGGAAAGAAGTTTTGGATTATAAGTAATAATGTATCTAATAGTAACATGATTTTGATATTCCTATATGTATGGACAAAATTTATAACTGAATAATACATCTCATAAATCTACATTATGTTGTACCAATTGTACTTATTGTACCAATTTTAACATTGATTTAAAACAGAATAAGAATAGACCTAAGTCTTCGTGGTTTGATAGGGCTTTTTAAGTTGACACATAAAATATGTCATCTAATGCGAAACTTCCACGGTTTGTATGAATAATAAATTAAATGTAATTTAAAATTTTGTATGTTTGGTATTATTCACTCGTATAGAAAATAATATAATACATACACATTAAAATTTTACATATAGTTTAACATAAATGCTAACAAAAAAAAGCTCAACGCACCAAGAACTTTATACTTACAAATAAATGGAATTACAATTGATATAAATTGATTTTTGGTCGTATTGAGTTTTATAAATATAATGGTTATGAATCATTCGTATGTATAAAGTCCATATATTTACCTTCTGGGTGGTGTGGCAAAATAGATGAAAACAAAATATGTTGTAAAAAACAAAACATATTCTTATTAGTTAACATTCTCCACAGATAAACATTTTTACGGTACAAAAATATATATGACTTATAATTTTTATGATATATTAAATTATATTTTTTTTTAAAAGACTCTAGTAAAGCATGAATGACCAAGTAATCTTAAAACTTCCAATATAAATGGTTTTATATGGTGGAACGTTGCTTGGAATGCCCCACACAGTCAACTATATAATATAACAGTTAACTTTATAGTTCAACATATAATAATAATGATGCTTTGCGGAATGACCCCCTATAACTGATTTGTGACTTTAAATTTATCTTGACATTGAGATAAATCGTGTCGATAAGATAGTTTTGTCTTGAGGTAATTTAACATTAAAGCAGATTAAAAATAATAGACTAATCCATATCCGACACGTACACATCTGTATACACATCAAGGTCCAAGAATACGATATATACGATGTGATCCACGGTCTTCAAAAGAAGTGTGGCAGATGGTGGGGGGCAGTGGGGGGTCACGAAAAAATGCGCAGAGGGCTGTGGGGGACAGTGGGGGGTTTCAGAAAAAACTACGATATGTCAAAATAAGGATAAAAATGACAGGTTTTGACCTTATTTTGTGGGGGGTCGGTGGGGGGCGATGGAGGGTGAATGGGGGGCGGTGGATGGTTGTGTGGAATGCCCCACCGAGATAACTATATAATATAGGATGATAGATATATTTGTGTGTGTGTGTTATAGTGTAATGACCTGCTATGGGTATGTACATTATTGAAAATTTACATCGTCTTTTACATAGTAGCAGTATATACACATAAGTTTATTTTATTGCACGAACAATTTAAAATTAATGTTACCATTATTATTATCTTGTAATACTGTAAAAGAATGTATGCATGCATTTAATAATAATTTTTTTTTTTTCTATTCTTAAGTTAAGTGGGGTCGAAGTGCTTTTTATGCATGTATTGAAAGCATACAATAGATTTTTAGTGCTTTGAATATCTAAGGTTTTTTCTTACTACTATATGTACACAACTTCCCTGCATGTAAAAAAAATTAAAAAGCGATAGTGGATGCAAAGGACATTTTCAACTCTTTTTGCGAAATTGATCTTGTACCAAGATAACTTTAAACATTGTCTTTTATGATGGGAGCTAAAGTGCGCAACTTTTTACATAAATAACGACATTTACATTTATACATTTTAGCTTAGTACGTGCATTAGTGCTAACATAATCATAACACTTTGCAGACAACGAGTATTCATTCTTTCACCTACTAACAATCCTCTTCTTCTGCGGATTTCCACTGCAAGACAGGATGCAGTTGGAAGAAGTTTCGTGATAAGCACAAACCATCTTAGGTGGAAGGGGGGAGAAGAGGCCAAACGGCCTAAGTAAAGGTTGAGGAAATTTTTATTTTATTATTAGTATTATCATTTTTCGATAGTTGTACTGCTCTTTTAACTCTCATTCTGTTCTTTCTTCCTTTTTTCCGTCGAGCAAGCGAATCAGAAAAGAAGATCCGAAAAGTTACAAATTTTTTAGTGCGGTGGTGTAACGGTGATGAATACTTGAGCGCTGTTTGCGATCGTCTATATAAGAGAAAGGAAAGGCAAGCGTCTTGATATGCTGATTAGCGCGAGACACTCAGCCATGAGGCGAGAAGGGATAAAGTATTAGTAGGGCTGACACGTGTGTCCCTTGTCCGCTAAGCATATACGAAGTTACCGGGGGATAAGCCTTGCCATCACCTTGTCAACGCCTGACCTCTCACACCTGCGATCCAACAGCTTACTAGCGAAATATTGGACCAAGAGTTCTTGTTGGCAGATCATTCGCTCGACCAACAGAGTAAACGCAAGGCTATGAAAAGCTAGGTAAGTGCAGCGCAGTGCGTGTGCAAAAAGCGTGTTAGCAACGTAAACTTTCTCTATGCACGGCAGAATTATTGTGTACCGTTGGCTCCGAGAGAAAATCCTTCCCGGCTGTACGAGCCTTGTCGTTAGCACAATCGAGCGAAATATATACACACTTATACACACATATACATGCTTTTGTACCATTTAACTCTTGTGACTTTCAAGTATTTGTGTTCTGCTTTGCGCAAGCCTTTTCTGTCATGAAGCCCTTCTAGCAATTCTTTATTTACAGGCTCTATATATAGATCGTGTTATACAGTAAGGAGTCGTAAGTTGAGCACCAGCCTCATTCTGCCACCTCCACGGGTTCGCACGTAGACATCGTCGCGTGAGCATCCTGAGTTAGACTAGGGTTGAGCTGCCCCTTTATCAAGCAGACGTGAATGGGGGAAAGCGGTCTTGCTGTCCACGTTGTAACGTGAGTGTGTCTCGGCGGGTACCCGGAAAGCACAGTCCTGGTCAAAGTTTTTCTTACCGTAATAAGTTGGCTATCAGAGCCGTAAGCGAGTATAAACACCCCATTACAGTTTGTAGTACAAAAAACCATTAACTTGAATAAAATTTTTTTTTACGATCGTGTCAACTCAGCTACTGTTTTCTAAAAATTTTTTCTGTTACCTGAATTATGCTACCCTACACTGTTAACAAATGCTTAATGGATATTTTTATATTGAAAAAAAATTTTGGTAAAAAATGGTTTCTAAGAAAAAGTTTTGGAAATAGACGTTTTGGAAAAAAATTAATGGAGAAAAAGCCTGAAAACTTTTTTCGAAAAATTGTCCACTCACTGAATGCAACGATTATAATCAGGACCATGATGCTGCGTGCGACGAAAAACTATTTTAAAATGATTATGGTGATCGTAGGAGTGTTAGCACAATCTGGGTTGTGAACGATCGAGACATTGACAAAAATTTATCCGCTGATAAAACAGCTATGGTCAGATATGATCCAGATTATGAAAATAGCTATAATTCAGTTAGTAACGAATTTTTCGAAAACATTTCGACATGATGAAGAAAAGAAAGGCTCTTTAAGTTTTGAAAAGCTACGTAAGAATGTAGTGTATGATCTCCAATAAAAATTATAAATGCATAAGAAAAAAACTGAAACGATCAGATGAGATATATACCAAACTATAATGCAGACAGTATAAAAAGGCCAAATACAGGTGGAGCTTTTACATAGTACTCACATGGCTTCATGTTAATATATGTGTGTGTTTGATATTTTAGATAAGTATGTTATAAATGATTTACGGGTAAGTGTTAATGATAACTAATTAATGAAAATAACAATTTAAAATACAAACCATTTTTTTTTTTATTTACATGTGTTACGGTGTAAGAAATATCTGATATAATTAAAAAAATTTACTTATGAATTACATGTTCTAATTTTTTGTTATCATAGAAGACCACTGTATGTATGTAAATGTTCAATACCACTGGTTTCTATATCTAAGCGACTATCAATACGTTGATGTAGTCTTTGAAACATCTGTTGGTTACATCTATAAGAATCTAACTTGCGATAACACAGTGCTCAATCCTTACTTTCATAGTACTTAAGGAAAAGGGAAAAATTTGTGCATAAGTGTCCTTATTTACTCAAGCATTAAAATATGCAAGTAAATTAGTTGAAACTTGCATAATAATGAGTTAAGTAAACAATGACGTACTGGATACATAAACGTTCACCTGTGGCACGTATACAACAATCACTATTTATCATTTTAAACAATGTCCGAAGATCTTCCATTTAACTCTGCAGTAGCTCTGTTTATTTTTAAGGCAAATTATGATGCGTTTTAAAACAATAGGTTGGTTCAGTCATATTTCAAACTTAAAATTGCTCTTACTATTCTATAATTAATATGACTTACTTTACTTATAAACATGGTGACTTGAAAGTGACTTCAGCTTTATAAATCAACTACTAGAAAGCTTGAAAACTTAAAATATTAATACAATTTTATTTCTCTTAAACTAATAAGATAGTTAACTAAATTTTCATAAACAACAAAAGTAATTATAGTAGCTGGAGTGACCTTTACGAGGTTAATACTGAGTCCTTTGTAATATCCACCACCTTTTTCGTACCTGAAAAAAATTAAAGATATTTCATTACTTATATTCTTAAGCAGGATAATGTAATGATATTACATACATCAATATAAATCAAACACACACACACACACACACAGAGAAAGTGACTTATGCGGACTTGACGTGTCTCTAAAATATATATCAATAACATGGTAGAATTATGCGGACGAACGCATAATTACACTTTTGTCCTCATAATTACCCTTGCATACATGTGATTGTCCACATAAGTCACTTCTGTCCACACACACACACACACACACACACACACACACACACACACACACACACACACACACATATATAGTGGGGGTTATCGCACAGAGCGTACAAAGAAGTGAAGCCCTACTTATATATATTTACCACTCTAACCGAAAATAAAAGCCAATTTAATATATAAAACAGAAACGGAACTAATACTTAAATCCTTAGTATTGTCATATCATTTATGAATCTCAAAGTCTATATTAAAAGACTAAGTTTTTCTCCGTTCCTGAAAATAAACATAATGCTTACAATAGGCACCAATTAGAACATATTCATTATACTTGTAATTTTTTTAAGGGTTTGCGGTATAACTTCAAAATTGCAGTGGAAACAATAGGGGACAAACCTTTGGGTTTACAAAGCGTAAAAATATAGTTAAGTATGAGTGATTTGAAATATTGTTCAGCATATCTTTCGGAGACATACAAATATCAGAATTGATTATTAGTTTAAAGTTCGATACTATAATTGCACCGAATTTAACTGCAATTAGTTTATTTTTTGTATTTCTTTGTTCATCGTTTGTCCTGAGAAAATATAACTTAGTTTAGAAAACAGTAAAAATAATTAAAGAACCTAATCGACAGTCAAAAGTTTTAACCATGCAATATGAGCTGCGTAATGCTTTCATTGCACCGATTTAAAGGTGGTAACATACATTTACCCCTAAGACAAGAATCATTTTTTTATTTCTCTTGACTCTCATAAACTGCTAAACAAAAAGAACAATAATACATCGTGAAAAAAAGATATTATTAACTGTCCATACCACCGAAGTAATTTAATTCGTATTGATATGAAAAACTTTTTTTTTTCTGTATGTATGTACATATATTTAATCTTTATCATTTAAATTCGGTTCATTTTAACGTTTTTTTATTGGTATTTATTATTCATATTATTATTATCTTTTTTCTCATGGTAATAGCGTAAAAAAAGGAATTGTTAAGTTTTTTTACTATTAGATTCTAGTTTTTTTAACCAAACTGTTAAGGAGTTGATAACGATACATGAAATAGTAAAGAGGGGGAAAAAAAAGTGGAAAAACTTGTAAATAAAACATAAACACCCAAAGAATGCTCATTATTTTTATAAAATTTTATGTAGGGGGCGAAAAAAGGTAAAAAATCATCTTTATAACTATAGCGGAAGTTCTTTTACAAACCGAACACTTTTTGACCGACACATTTTAGATTTAACTGAAACTTTTATTCAGGGTTCTACATCGAAAAAAAAAGATACATGTAAGAGAGTTTTTTTTATTTTCGATATTTTTTAAGTAAGTACTTAACCAGTGTACGAAATANACTTTTTTTATGGATTCTATATTGGAAAAAAAAGATATGTATAAGGGAATTTTTTTTATTTTCGATATTTTGAAATATAAACAAGATCGGATATTCGTGAGTTTGATGATTTATCGATAATAGCCTATTTTTCAAAAATTCATAACTCCGGTTCTATTTAGGCTAAAAAATTCATTTTTTATTTTAAAGGTAAAAAGACAAGCTATAAGAAAAAAGTACTTACAAAACAAATTTTAAAAAAATTCAAATTGTTGTTAACAATTTAAATGTTTAAATCGGTTTTTAACAGTGGCGCCACCCATGAATCAACTTTTTACTATTTTTATCGTATTCTGCGTCAAATTTTCTATCGAAAACGCATTTAAAAACGATGGAGAAGTTATTTTTACTGTGGGAAAAAAATTAAATTATTTAGCGCGGTACGTCACATCGACACTTGGGCAACATTTTACGGCTCATATTCTTGTTTTACACCGTTAATCTTAATTACAAATAATTGTTTCATTTTTTTAATTAAAAAAGATATTGTTGTTAACAATTTAAATGTTTAAATCGGTTTTTAACAGTGGCGCCACCCATGAATCAACTTTTTACTATTATTATCGTATTCTGCGTCAAATTTTCTATCGAAAACGCATTTAAAAACGATGGAGAAGTTATTTTTACTGTGGGAAAAAAATTAAATTATTCAGCGCGGTACGTCACATCGACACTTGGGCAACATTTTACGGCTCATATTCTTGTTTTACACCGTTAATCTTAATTACAAATAATTGTTTCATTTATTTAATTAAAAAAGATTTTTTATTAGCCAAGAAGATGGGTATAAATAGAAAAAATACATAAATAAAAATAAATAAATAACGAAAAAATATTTTGAATCAAATAGTATGAAATTTAAATGTTAAATATTAATTTGAGCAACGAAAATATTACCTTATGTTCCTTAAAGATTCTGAATTTCCCACGCGTTTGGTAAATACTGTTGGTAGCTTTGGCAGCACTGACAGGGATTCAATTTTAAGGAGTAGGGGCAGTAGAAGGGAGAAGCAGTAGACTATTATTATGTGAATCAGCTGTAAAGTGACCGTTTGTCGCTTACGCATTCAGTGCTCCACGAGCTTCTTAATAGCTTCTTTCTAACATTTCGAATTTTACTGCTTTTAACAATTTTTACCAACTTGTTCTTTCTCCATGAGTGAAAGTGGCCTTTCGTTGTTTGAGTATAGCAAGAAATTAAAGGCAAATTGTAGATGAAAACATGCAAAAATGCCTAAAATAGTGTTAAAACAATCATTCTCAAACGATCCTACTGTTAGTTTGAAAATTAGTTAACAAATGATACACGAAATAATGTTGTTATAAAATATTATAACACTAAAATTCAATGAAATCTACCAAAAAAAGGTGGTGGATATTTTTTTTACCCGGTTACCGCGACAGCCTATTAGCTCAATCATTAGTCAGGCTGATTAGGATCTCCTAAGAATTCCCATGATTCAGGGACCACTCCTTGGTAGGTGCTCTCCTCCCGTCGCATGAAATCGGATTTTATTATTCCTACCTACAGCCTTAACACTGATTTGCATTTACCTTGGTCCGAAGACCTGTGGAGCAAGAAACAAACCTTTTAATAACCTTGAAGGAAACTTTCGCGGAAAAAAATCCACCCCAAAACAGCTGGGGTTTTATCAGATTTTTTTTCGATGAAAACAGTTTTTTGAAAAAATCTGCATTCACCAGGAATTCAAATCTATGACCCCTACAACGGTATTATATTAGGACCAAGCATGCTAACCACTGAGCAAACAACACTTGTAAGTATGGTAATTTTTTAAGGAGTGCAAGTGAAAATAAAATTTTGTTATTATATTTTAAAATATTAAAAAGTACTTAACCAGTTAAACGAATAATATAACGAAAGAAATTTTTCTATATTTATTAATGTAGAAGTGAAAAAGGAGTTATGGGGCTGAGGGGATCAAACAGAAAATTCAACGAAATAAAGTTACAAATTAATTGTTACAGTTGTACCTTACAGTGAATGTAGCTAAAACGAAGCTTAGTAGGTGATAGAAAGCCTTTGATGATAAGACCTGAAGAAGAAATTTTACTCAATTTAATGATGAACCAACTAAGATAGCTTATACTAATACTGAAAGGTAGTTAAGAAGGCCCAAGTTGGTATTATAAAAATGAGCGGACTCTAAGGGGGGCATTAGGGTACTATAAAAATGAGGGAGCGCTGTGATGGACTAAATTTCATAATAAAAATAAGAGAGGGGGGCGGGGCAAGTGGATTCATCACAATAAGAGGGGTTGAGAGTAGACTTAAGAGTGCTCTTTAAAAAATTAAACTCCATAGAATCACGGGCAAACTTAACATATAGCTTGTATTAAGAGAGGGCTGAGGGAAGATCTCGACATAATAAGGAAATGCTAAGAGGGGAAGGAGCGAGATTGAGGGGGGCAGTTAATTATTCAACCCATGTAAAATAAGGAAGAAATTGAAATAATGTTTTCTTATTTTGAGAGGTTAAGGGGGTGCCAAGAGGAGGGGAGAGAGGGATGTGTGAAATGACCCTTTCAAATCACTATATAATATAGAGAGATATATCATGGAACGTTCTTTTACAAACCAAACAGATTTGGACAAAAATTGACCGACACATTTTAGATTTAACTGAAACTTTTTTTATGGATTCTCCATTGGAAAAAAAAGATATGTATAAGAGAATTTTTTTTATTTTCGATATTTTGAAATATTAACAAGATCGGATATTCGTGAGTTTGATGATTTATCGATAATAGCCTATTTTTCAAAAATTTATAACTCCGGTTCTATTTAGGCTAAAAAATTCATTTTTTATTTTAAAGGTAAAAAGACAAGCTATAAGAAAAAAGTACTTACAAAACAAATTTTCAAAAAATTCAAATTGTTGTTAACAATTTAAATGTTTAAATCGGTTTTTAACAGTGGCGCCACCCATGAATCAACTTTTTACTATTATTATCGTATTCTGCGTCAAATTTTCTATCGAAAACGCATTTAAAAACGATGGAGAAGTTATTTTTACTGTGGGAAAAAAATTAAATTATTTAGCGCGGTACGTCACATCGACACTTGGGCAACATTTTACGGCTCATATTCTTGTTTTACACCGTTAATCT